TAAATATATTCATTTATTAATGTAGTGAGAGTTATTTTAACCCATTAAATTATTATTATTACCTTTTAGTTTTCTTAAACATAAATATATCCATCCATAAGGTTGATTTTATGTGGTAGTAATAGTTATTCCAAAACTCACTATGCTAGTTGAATTAAAAGATATATATATAATCATGCATTTTCTTTTACAAGTAAAAAATATAATGTGAATTTTCTATTGATAAACAAAGCTTATTAGTAAAGAATTATTTTATTTATTAAGGAATTATACATTTGAGATGTGGATCATAGAAGTTGACCTTGTTTCCATTTGTCCATGCCTTGCCAACACAATGTAATATTATTTCTAAAAACCAAATGGTGGCTTCTTGTTTATGTTTTATTGAAATTACAAGTTCAAAATAATTTGTTGTAACATGATTAAGAATTGAAGGCATAACTTTCAACGAGTAATTCTTTTCCGTTTTTTTAGTAAACCATAGCTAAAATTTTGCAAGGAAATAAAATAAGTCTCAAAGAATGCATGTACAAAATATCACGTTTCTGGTTAAAACTTCATGTGGGTGTGCTAGGTAACAAATGAAAAAGTTCCTTCGATTTTAATAGTAAAAATTGACTTGTTGCACAAAATTTCTACATAGTTATTACAGTAGACATGTCGATCGTGTGAAATGTCATCTGACTGATATAAATCCCTCTCTCTATACCAGATTCACGTGATTTCAAAACTAAAATGCAGATCTTAAATCATATAGTCATTATTAGATCACTATACAAATGTCAAATAATCTCTTAATTGTTAATTAATAAAGAAATCAAAAATTGATGATGTTATTGCCAACCTAAAATAATGTCAATATTATTTTAATAAAGAAAATAATGTTAATATTATTTTACGTGTAAATAAATTATAAATCAGATGTCATGTAACACATCATTGTGGCGTTGTATTACGTCGCGAAATTAAGCAATTTTTTTTATATAAATCGATCACGATTTTTGTATTAATTCAATTTTTAAATTTTTCATTAATCAAACTTAATTCATATCAAATTGATTCATTTATTATCTATTCTGTTTTATTATTTATTTAAAATGTCATTAAATAAGAGAAAATCTTTAACAGCTTTGATAAAAAGAGATTTTGTTTGGCAAAACAAAAAACTCCAATCCCAACGAATAGAGAATTAGCAACAGCTTTTGATATTAGTACAAGTACAATTAGTGATATTTTAAATGAAAAATATAGGTGGCTTTCCATTAATCCAGAATCCTCTGATGCTACCAAGAAAAAAAGGAGAAGCTTGGTATACAAAGAAGTTGATCAAGCATTAACTATTTGGACAGAGAAAGCTATTGGTGCAGAGTTAGACATTACTGGTGATATATTGAAAGAAAAAGCAATACACTTTGCCCAACTTCTTGATATTAATGACTTCAAAGCATCAGAAGGATGGTTAACAAAATTCAAGCAAAGACATAATATCAAACAGTATACAAAACAAGGTGAAGCTGCCAGTACTCCTATTTCGGAATTACCTATTTATAGAGAAGAATTAAAGAATTCTATTACAAATCAATATCAATTATCAGATATTTTTAATGCAGATGAGACTGGGTTATTTTGGAAACTGGAACCATCAAAAGTATTATCAACAGGACCTGTATCTGGAAGAAAGAAGTCAAAGGAAAGAGTTACAGTATTATTAACATGTAATGCTAGTGGAACAGAAAAATTGAAGCCATTATTTATACACAAATATAAAATGCCTAAAGCTTTAAAAAATATTGACAAAGAAGCATTGTCAGTAAACTATTACTGGAATCTCAAAGCATGGATGCAAGTCTCCATTTTTAATGATTATTTAGTCAATTTAAACAGATATATGCAACAACAAAATAGAAATATTTTGTTATTATTAGACAATGCTCCCACACATTCTGTTAATGAGACAACAAATTTAACAAATGTTAAAATTCATTTTTTGCCTCCAAATACTACTGCATTTTTACAACCATGCGATGCTGATATAATCAATAGCTTCAAGATAAATAAATTATTAATATTAATATTAATTTTCTTTTTTAAAAAAATTCTTAACATAATTTCAATATCATATTTTACAGGCAAATTATAAAAAACTTTTTTTGAGAAAAAAACTAAAAAATTATGAAATACAAAAAAGAGGCGGAGAACCTGATCCAATTACAATAAAGCATGCAATTAAATATACTACAAAGGCATGGGAAAATGTTACCAGTCAAACAATAATTAATTGCTGGAAAAAGACTGCAATTTTAACTGATGTGGATGAAAATTCTATTGAAATTCAAAATGCTACATCATTCCTAGATTCTTCAAAAAATAATGATGAAAATGATTTACAAAGTTTAATTAATGAACTTGATTTTGCAAATCCTTTATCTGGGACAGAATATCTTTCCATTGATGAAGTAGAAAGAAATGACAATGACAATTATGAGGGTTTGCCAAATGATGAAGAAATAATTTCTATGCTAAAGCTTAATGAAGAAAAAGATGAAGATGATGATGATAATATTGAAGAAATTCCTCTTGTTTCAAGTCAAGATGCTTTATTGGCCATTGAAAATGTAAATTTATTTGTTGAACAGTAATTTAAGGAATTTACAAATGAAGAATTGAAATTGTTAAAAACCATTAAAAAGAAAATCAAAAAAGTAGAATTTAATTCAAAAAAACAATCTACATTAGATAGTTTTTTGAACATTAATATTGAATAATTATTTTTTTATAATCATAATAATAATAATAAATTTTTTAACTTAATCATGTGACGATCAACAAAATTCTCTATACCGGATTCTCTCTATAACGGATCTTTTTTCCCCAGACAAATGATCCATTATAGAGAGAGTGAACTGTACAACAAATAATTTTTTTGAGAAAATCTCTCTATTACATTAAAACTAAAGACATATTCTATCAACTAATAGAGTTATTTTTTTAAAAGGTAGGACAGAAAGTGACTTCTATACTTTTAAAATTTGCTCAAAATTTAAGAGGTCTTTATACCGAGCCAACTATAAAACAAATTTTTGCTAAAACGTTTAAAACGTTGATCGCGCCAAAAACCGAAAAAACCAGGCACGGCTAGATGTAAAAAGAGATAATCGGCAAAAGGTCTGCACGGAAGTCGCACGACTTGCGGGTTTTGGAAGGAGATCGTGACACGGAAAATATTCAATCTTTTTTTTTGTGTTAACCATATTTTTGGGTAACAAATTCACAAAAATGTTAGGTACGTTTCACGATTTTATGTTCTTAAAAAAAAAACCTTTGGTTTTTTTTTCCTTTTTTTTTTTTAATAAATTATGTTTCAAAAATTATTATTTCGTCCAAAACCATCACCAAAGGATCCTGAGGATCCCAAGCATACTGAAGCTTTATTGGAGAGTAACTCGTACGTATTTATATGACAAAGGATTGACTTGATTATAAAAATATAATTTCGTTAGAAATATTGTGTGGGGAAAGGGAAACTAGTTTTTTTTTTGGAGTGATTGATAGATAAATAATAGATAAAATTTTAATAATTTGTTTTTTTTTATTCTTTAATCAATCAAAAAAAAGCAATAAAAATTTTGTATTTAATTTTTTAAATAAAGAATTTTATCTATTTATAAGGAAATTTTTTTTTGTATGATCTTAATGTATATATATTGAATTTCTTTGGCTTCCTTAACTATCTTTAACTATCTCTATCTAAAATTAGTTGGTCACCTCCAAACTTTGACACCAAACAAATCCGTGTAATTCTTTGTCAAGATACGGGTGACAAGGTTAAATTGACATTGTTTGATTCAGCCTATTCCCTTATCTCAAATCCCACCACCAAATCGCCTGATAATCGAGATCGATCAAAGAATACTACAGCTAATACCTCAGAGTTATCATCATCTTGGAGTGGCAGTGGTGGTAGTATATTAAATGGACATTTTATTCAAAAATCAACGGCTGCCATTAATATCAGATCATCATCCACAAGTACCACCACCAGTAACAACATTATTAATAATAACAATGAGAGTAAAAGAAGAAATTTGGATTCTGTGAATAAAAAGGCAAATGCTCGAACTTTACCTCCGTCATTGAATCGAAATAATGCTGGACTTGGAACTCCTAAAAAAGTGAATAATAATTTTTTTTTGCAAAAACAGAAATAGGTTGATAATTTATATTAATTAATTATATTATTAATTATATTAATTTTAAAGGCAATTCATAATATCGATTTGATTGGGGAAATGATGTTTGGTGCTGTTCCTTTATCATATAAAGGAATGAACACAAAAATTCACTTCATAAAAAATCCAAAACCTCAAATCTTGCTAACAAAACTATTTTCTATAAATCCCGCGAATTTGGAATCAAGTTCACCTGGAAGACGAAGCTCTATTTCTTCAGTAAATAGTGATACATCAATTGCATCTTCTACACAAGGAACCTGTGCACCGATTAATATCACCACCCAAGAGCCACGTAGTATTTCACAAACACTTAAAACTAACAATAATACATTCCACATCGAAGATTGTTCCGAATCTAGTGATGACGATTCATACCATGTTGTCTCTTCATATTCATCTCCACCATATTTTTCTAACGGGCCACCAATTCTTGGTTTGAGAACTAATGATTATTCTATCTCACCAACATCATCTTTATCCACTTCTCCTCGAAGCACTTTCATTAATCGAAGAATAAGGAGGTTTAGTCAAACTAGTTTGGAAAAAGGTGTGTTTAATCCAACTCCATTACCTGGTGGGATGGCCCGTTTAGATTTTTCATCTGGAAATGTAAGTTACAAACAAAATCTAAATCTAAATTTAAATCTAAATCTAAATCTAAATCTAAATCTAAATCTAAATCTAAATTTAAATCCAAATTTAATCTAATTATTAATGGCTGATTAGATAAGTTTGAAATCTCCAGGTCGTTCTTTGATGTATGCAATTGGAGTCGTGATATCACTGGAGGATAATGAGTTATTAGAAGAATTTATCTTTTCTCATTTTACATTATTAGAAAACAGATTACACCAACTTCATTCAGCTGCATTAAAACTACTATGTACTCATCTCAGGAGGTCTTCCGGATCAGCCACTATTACTGGTCCTAATTCAGTAAGTGTTAATAACTAATATATAATTATGAAATTTCATAAAATAAATTTAAAAAAAATTATTTTGATTTTATTATTTATTAGATATTTAATCCACTGAATAGAACAAGGTTATCTTTATCATCTCTTTCATCATTAATGTTTCAAAATGATCAATCTTGGTTAGAAACTGTAAATCGATTCAAGAAATCATTATGGGAATTATATAGTACGCCGCGTATCCAGGTAACAATGATTTAAGAAAGATTCAACAAATCTACAAATTTATATCAAATATAAATTTTAAAAAAAACCTCCTTGAAATGTGTTGCTTACCTATTAAAAAAAAAGTGTTGCATGCATATTGTGTGTATACACTGTGTAAATAATAAGATTAAATAAAATTAAAAAAGGTGGCAACAACTAACACTCCTAATAATAATAATCCCTTCAAAAAACTTTGTGCAAGGAGCCATTATGGTTGAACATTTCGACTTTTCCACAAAGAAAGAACAAATTAGCCAATAGCCTAATGACGGAATTATCTTATTTAATTCAAAAATTTGATAAACAATCAAATTCATTGTATCCCTTTTTTAATATTTATAATTTTTTGATATAAACTATTCATTAAATATAAACCTTAATTCTTTAATTTTGATTTGACAGTTTTATTTCTACATTGATAACTAGTGTTCTGATGTATCATTTAGGTTGGGTTCCTACGGTAGCTCCCGCAATAGATTTTGATGAACATGTAACGTTGAAATATCTTATTATTATTATTATTATTATTATTATTATTATTATTATTATTATTATTATTATTATTATTATTATTTATTATATTTACTTTTTACGATATTAAACATTTATCATAATATTTAAATATAAAATATTCAAGAATTTATTTTACGATCCTTTGTGGGCACAACTTGGGTATATATTATAATGAAATTAAATATATAATTCAATTTTTTTCATGAATGATTATAATAATAAAATTAATTTGTTTTTAACTATTTATCATATTATGTGTAGAGATTTGTATGGTAATTTGGGGACACCAACATTAAGTCGAACAATCATAATTGGAAAAGATGTAAACATGGTTAGACGCATTATTTTTATACTTAGTTATTTTATTCGATGTAATGAAGTATATGAGAATAAGGAACAAATGATTCCGTTTGATTCTAACTTCAATGGACAAAAAAAATCCATGATTGGTGAGTAAATTTTCTCATTAAATAAATATGGCTTTTTTTACTTGGTGTTTCATATAATGAATTGGTTCTAATTGATTGAAAAACAACAATTAAATATTTATTAGATATTATGAATGAAGCAAAATTTTCAAAAAAAGATATGATGAATAATGGTGGTAATATAGAAAGAAATTTAATATACTAATACTAATGATATTAATATTAATGGAGAAAATATAATTATATAATTATAATATTTTTAATAAATCAATTCAAGAAACAGATTTATATTCAAATAATAATCATTATTCATCTGATGGTGATGGTGATAATAATAAGCAAAAAAGGTTGATAATTGATGGCTCCATATCAGACCTTTCTATAGAAAATTTTATGGATGTGCCAATACCAAAGTATGCATCTATATATGTGTTTTTTTTTAAAGAATAAACTTTAATTAGTTGTATGATTTTAACTGTTATCATTAATTCAGGTCAGCAAATAAATTCACCATACCAGATACAAAATTAGATACTACAAAAACTGAAGATGATGATGATACAAAGTTATTGTATCGTGCAGATCGATTATTTGTCAAATCCTATGGTAGATCATTGATGGTCGGACATTGTAAGAATTATATGTCAGACTTTGTATTAATGGGTATACCTAACCTTGATGATCAAGATTTATTATTGTTAGAAACAGATCTGAAAGACTCTTTACAGGTAAAAGAGCAAAATAAATTTTTGATATTTATTTAGTATTTCTTAATTTAATTTTAATTGATAACAAAAAATTTTTATTCCTATTTATTAGCAATTTTCCTTACAGTTTACAGTTACTAAAACTATTTGTATATTAGGACAATTATCTAATTTGTAAGGAAAAGGAAAAGTTTGACTTGCTATTTTTATTGATAATAAGATGGTCTAATTTGATTGTTATATTATTATTATTAATATACTATTTACATGGATATTGCTCTTTCGTATCTCTTTTTCTCTTTTTTTTTTTAAAAAAAAATCTATGATCAAATAGCATGTGTACAACTAGAGGTTATGATTTGTATAGTGCTCGTCATGCTGTTGATGATGATTCTGTGACATTTGAAGGAAGTGAATTCAGAAACAGTGAGGGATTTATTCAGCAGCAACATTATTCAAAATATGTTTACAATATGTTACATCAATGTAAAGATTTATTCACTGTTTCAGGAATGTCAGCAGAATCTGCAAGTGTTTTATTATTTTAATTTTTTTCTTTTTTAAAAATTTTCTCTAAATATAGGGTTTTATTAATATAATTTAATTAATAGTGCCTTGAATACCTAGAGGATACATTGAGAACACTTTATTATAAAGCAATACTATATAAAAAATTGTTAAGAACCACATATAATAATGCATCTTCGGCTAGTGTCACTAATACAACTAACACAACCACAAACAATAATAAGAATATGCCTTATATCCATAATGGTCCACAAACAGCTTCACTAAAATCAATTTATCTCCCGCCTCTTTCAAATTCTGAAGATTCTTCAATAAATTTAATTGAAGTATTGGGAATAGATGAATCTGATATTCCATTGATTGATTCGATCAGCACAACCTTCTAATTATTATTATTATTATCATTATTATTATTTTATTTTCAATCAATTTTTTATTTTATTTATAATAATTATATTTATTTATTTATCTAACGTTAATTAATCATTTATATTTATATTATATTCAATCGATAACTTATATATAAAACACACAAACATGCATTTACACACATTTGTATTTAAAATATAATTAATAATTCAACCAAGCTGAGAAGGGAATATTTTATAATCTTCTATTGTATATTCATTCGTATTTAAATCAATAACAGATATAATAATTAATGATAATAATGGATTAATTTTAATATTAATTTTTTATTATGTTAATTTTAAAAAGAATCTACATTAATGATTTTATTAATAAAACTATAATGGAATAAATAAATGAATTTTCTATATATTGTTAGCAAATAATGCAAGAAAAGATGTAATTTACGGATGGTTTTGAAGTAGAATTAATTATTGTGAAGAATTTATGTTAAGTAATTTTGAAATTTATCTTTTTTTTTTTCTTCATTTTTTTTATTTATGTATATATTATCCATATATTAATCGTAATAGCAAATACCAAACACAGCCAAAAGCTCTAAAAGCTGATAAACCAGCAACAGACCAAAATATACCTGTCAAGTAAGGATTATAACTTACATTTGCATTAGATTTATCCCTAATATAATTATTCCAAGTAGCTGATGTGAAAAAGACCACTAGGAAAGCATTGGAAAACATCCAAGACAAAACCAAATTAGTTCTAAATAATTTATAATAATCTTCTTTTTTTGTTGCAGCATCTCTCCTTTGTTTTACTTCTTTGACTTTGACTCTTAAATCTTTGACTAAACTATCATAATTTGCATTAATATCTTCGCGTTCGTGTGGCACTTCTACTTGCATCAACTTCTTACCATCTTTACCAGCTACGATTGTTGCATTTGCGCCATTTCCACCACCATTATCACCTTTTGTACCCCAAGAGACATCATGTGTATTGCAGAACGCATATACCATTAAAATGTTTACGTAGAAAGGTATTAATAATGTGTATTGGAGTAAACATGTGAACATATGCCATGGTTCTCCGTGAAGGATAGATGAAATGAAATAAAGACCATAGGTTGATGCCAATGATATCACTATGTCACGAAATTCAGCAGTTTTAAGAGCATTTTTTATACTAGTGAAACTTTTGAAATCAATAGCATCTTTTGGTTCTAACAAACTTAGATAAACTGTATAACCTGCGCAATAAAGCATGGTGGCCATTATGATTGCAAATAAAATGATACAAAGTAAATAGATCATCTTTGAACCCTGTGGTCTATTACCCATTGAACAAATAAATATCGTAACAATAACCATAATATATATTGATCTAACCAGGCCAAACAATTCGTCACCATAACCTCTGAATGGATCAAATTTAGGATTTCCTGTTGTTGCTGATGTTAAAAAGAAGAACGCAAGATAGAAATTACCCTTTTAAAAAAAAAAAAAATATTATATTGATATATTTACTTTTATACGATTAAATAGATACATAGGTATTTAAAGTATTCAAAAATACATACCAAGGCAAACCAATTGAAAATCAGATTGATGGCATTATAAATAAATTCAATTTGTAACAAGAATTTTCTGTAGATTGGTTGACCAGAAGTCCAGATACGACCAAAATGTGCAACAGAATAAAATGCCGCAAAGAATGAACCATTTAACCAACGACGACGTTGTGAAATAAATTCTGATACATTATCTGGTACATCGGTTTCAGCTTTTGCAGACTAAAAAATAAAATGCATTAATTTAAATAGTAAATAACAAATAACGAGCTGTTTAATTTTTAAATAATAATACCTTGACATATTTTAATTTCCATGATTCTTTTTTCTTTGCCACAAGTTCAAAGCATAAAATACGATCCTCGGCCAAATACATATTGGCTTCGAATATACCAGCTTCACCTTCTCCATGCAAAGTCTCGCCTTTAAAGTAAGAGGCTAATGGACCTTTACCAGGAGCGGTATTTACTAATGCTTTGTATCTATAGGCTGAAAAGGCACCAGGTAACACTGAAATATAACCAAATATCGACTCCAAAGGTTTATCCAAAATATTTGACATTTTATATTCAAAATTTTGTGATGCAATCAAAGGATTGATAAGATTAATCCAATTTTTGCCAAGTTCGGCTTTAATTTCCCCACAAGCGCCTCCAATCATAGGATCTCTGTCAAATGCTTTCCATAAATGATAAAGCGAAGTGCTAGAAGGTTTGGTGCCAACATCCAACAGAATACAAACTTTTGGATTCAATTGAGCAGCAAATGCATTAAAGAACCAACGATGAGAATTCAATTTCTTTGCGTTTTTCTCTTTTAGACAAAATAAAATTTGAACTGGTGGAATATTTTTATCTTGACCTTTGATGTTAAATTCAGAATCCACCATCAATTGAGAAGTAAATTCAAACAAATGACCAGTGACAGGTTTGTCAGCAACAGTATCTTGCATAACATTTTCTTGATAAACACCCATTGCACCTAAAACTTTCAATACTCTGGGATTAACTTTATTACGACCATCAGCCACAACGACAACAACAACCTTTTCCCAACCATTTTTACCCCAAGTTTTGGATTTAACTCTTGTACACAAATGAGCGATATTTTTGATTGTTGATGACATAGTTTTAATGAATAGATTATCGTCTTCATTATACATTGTCATAACAATCATCAGTTCTGTTTTGCGTCCATAAATGTATGGTCTAAGTAAATATTTATTACTTACAAAATCATTAGGATCACAAGTAACTGCTGTATATCTCATTTCTGTAAATTCTTCGCCGGATTTTATACTTACATTATTAAGTACTTTATCTGGTACAGGAAAATCAAGAACCAAGTTGCCTTTAATAGGCTCTACTTGACGAATTGACTATAAAATTTAATTAATTTATGAAATATAAATACATTTTCTTTTTCGAGAAAGAAATTTAAACTTAAAATAAAAGAAATTTACGAACCTTTCTTTTATTAATTTTCTCTTGCATTTTATTGTTTGTTGATGGTTTTTGATCATAGTAATCATCTTCGAAATTAACAGTTTGATGATCATTACGCTGATAAGCTTGTTGTTGACGTTGTAATTGATTATAGTTTGGTGATTGTGGAGATGGGTTCCTTGGATAATTTGGTTGTCGCTGTTGTTGTTGTTGATATGCTTGTTGTGGAGGGTATGCTTGTTGTGGAGGGTATGCTTGTTGTGGAGGATATACTTGATTGTTTTGTGGAGTATAATAGTTGGACATTTTTAATTTTTAATTTTAAATTTATTAAGTAAATAATCAACGACTGTGTGATTTAATAAAGGATTAATTGAAAAAGAGGGAACGATAAGGTTGCGGGAAGGTGGAAATGTGAGAGGGTAAAACGCGAGTGAAGGAAATTAGGAGTTGTCGAAAAGAATGTTAACCGGAAAAATCTTTTTTTTTTTTTTAAGGAAGGAAGGAAGGAAGAAAATAAAGAGACAGAGAGGGAATTAATTAATTAATTTTTTTAATTGAGAAATAAAGTACAAAGCAGTTCTGAGTATTTATGACCATAATTTATGCTTGTCATGTCGTTACTTATGTTAAACAAATTTAAATTACTTACATTTGTTCGTGATCCCAAATATTTCCAATTATTGATTAAAAAGGTTATACAGCTTATATTTTTTCCTTTTAAATCATATTGTGTATTTTAAAAATAGTTTTTTGAAAAAAAATAACAACGATAGGCCGATACAGCGATGAAGGATATTTCATGCTGCATCCATCACCAGTGAAGGGGAGTTAAAGACATTTGGTTGGTGTGACTAGAATAAAAACTATACTTGGCATTGAAAATCTTGCTTAATTAAAAAAAAAAATTTTTTCGAAATTCAATTCTTTTGGCGTGTCCAACGTGCCATAATTTTTCAGTAACAAACAGTAACCAACATTTTTAAAACACTTTCAATTTAGCGAAAATCACACCTTTTTTAATTGATTATATATATCATTTCCAAAATTGTTAATATTATTATTTATTAAAAAAAAGTAAAAAAGTATTCCTTTTCTATAAAAATAGCAATATTGGAAATGTTTCTTGTTTTTTAATGTCGTCGATTACGTTTCCTACTGTTCATCATACATTTTTTTTCAGTTATTTGTGATGAGGCGCAAAGAATGTATAATAATAATAATATGATATGTATATATATATATATATAGAAAGATTATTTGTCATGTAGAATTCATCTAAGTTCTACCATCTTTTAAATTAAATTAAAAAAAATCAAATATAAAATATAATTTCTACTCACTAGTAAAATTATTTAATTTATAAATTATTTAATAAAGTGAGTAAGTTTGATATCATACCTTTTTCCTGTTCTACCACCTTTAAAATTTTCATCATGATATTCCATGCTATTATGTTGATCAATAGAATTTCCTGAAATAAAATCGATATTATCTGCCCCCTTTGGGTTTGATTTAACTTCTTTCTTTAATCTTTCCACTTCTTTTTCATATTCTTCCTTCTTTTTCATATTTTCTGTAGCGTCATCACGAATTTTAATGATTTTTGCATCAATTGATTTTAGAATTTCTTCGGATGTTTGAGACCTTTAAAACATGGTTATATATAATAAATAAATATATATAGGTATATATATATATATATATGCAAGTGCATGTGTTTGTTCGCATTAAAACAAGTGTTTGTGAATAATTACCAGGCACTTAAAACTTGTAACATTTGATCTATTTGCCCTGGACGTAAATCTCTTCCCATTGTATACTCAACCTCAAGTTGCTTTCTTTTCTGATCTAATTTACCTTTAATAACATCTTGATATATTGCATCGATAATTAAATCTTCAAGTTCTCGAACATTAGGTATATCAAGGTATTTTAATAACGTATCATATGGAATTGTCTATTGTAAACAATTGAAAGTTTGTTAATCGTATTTTTATAAATTCGCAACATTAATAAACGTATAATTACTAACTCGTGCTTCTTCGGATAAAGAGACAATTGACAAATGTTTAAGTTTGTTTAATTGCGCATCATCCAATGGTGGTAATGTTTCAACATTATCTAATAATATATGAAATTCCAAATTTAATTAAGATATTATTTCTTCTTTAATAATATGTATATATATATGTATACATTGCTTTTACCTTTGTAATCTTTATAAGTTCCATATGAGAAAAGCCTTAACAATGTGTGGTAGGATTGGTATTGTTCACTGTTTCGAAGCTGTTAAAATATAAACAGGAAAGTCTGTTAAATTTATTGTGAAATCCAGTTGCCTAAAACCAAAAGAATTTATTTCGTGGAAAGTTATTTGGTCCACCAATAAATTTCTCTTCCCCAAGTTTGTGATGATTTTTTTTTAACCTAATTAGTTATTAACTAGTATGTTTTCAAGAGATGGAGCTTTTCATACCTCTGCAACATTTGGCATGTCCAACAGTTCTGCAAATACATAAACACCTGGAGCTCCTAAAGCATCTTTGATCAGTTGTACACATGCGCCGCCCTTAGCAGACTTAGAAAGTAAAAGAAATGATTCTAAGCGTTGACGAGCTGAAGAGCCTAAAACAGATTCCGACATTATTTTTTTTAGGATTGCACTTTTGGGTCATGTGATAAGATCAATTTTCATTTTGAGATTTTTTTTTTTGAAATTAAAATTTTTTTATTACAATAAAAATTTATTCTTAAGGTTCGTTTTATGAATTAGTTTTTAAAATTGATTTTTTTATTAAAAGATTTAAAAATTGAATTAATGAAAAAAAAAAAAATTGAATATATTTATAAAATTATAAAATTATAACAAAGTTCAAAAATGGGTAAATATAGTTTTAATTTTCTAGAATTTTTTATTTGCAATCCTTCCTTATTTTTTTCCCTAATTGAATAATTTTTAGCTAAAAGTAAAAATCACACCAACCATAACCAAAGTATGTATTATATTCACATTAAAGCACATTTCTTCCAAATATATTATAACATTCTAAACCTTTCTTTGTTGTATGATTTTCATAGATCGTAAAGCTCACCGTAATGGTATTAAGAAACCAAAGACATATCGTTATCCTTCTTTAAAAGGAGTTAGTAAATTATATATAAATTATATTAATACAGGTATAGGCATTTTATTCATAAACCATATATAACCCAATAATGTTCTTTATTTTAGGTTGATCCCAAATTTATTCGCAATCAACGATTTGCAAAGAAGGTATTATTGTGGATCTTTATCATATAATATCATTTAATTAATTAATTTTTAACCTTTCAATATATCTTTTAATTTTTTTTCTAAAGGGAAATATTGCTGCCTTAAAGAGTCAACAACAAAAAATCACAATTTAAAAAAAATTTACCATGGAAGATTATTTAAGAGATTTGGGTGAACAACAAGAAAAGAAGCTGTAAATTGACTATTGAAGAAACAATGTAAATTTAAGAAAAAAACTGATGCTTTAATTTTTATAATCTCAAAAATAAATTATTATTAATATTGCACAAGTGAGCAAGCTAGTTATATGACAAGCTATTAAATAATAATAAAAACAAAGTGAGTATATAGAATAAACAGCCAGAAAACTAAAAAAAAAATTAAATCTCACCATATTCATTCATCACAAATGAAGTCATGAGGAACCAGTTCTGGTGTCATGACTGAAAGGAGTTCATTTGCAAGGTTGTATCTTGTGTGATTGGTATTGTGGTGAAAAGGAGGAAGGGGCTGAAGGTCAGCAGCTAGGACAATTGATGCTCCAGATAGAGCGATGTTTTCAGCTGCATTGGTATCCCTTCCCTGTGTCGTATACTTTATCCCTCTTGCTGGGCATCAAGGATGAACACATTCTACTGTGCCATGGAGCTGAACAGTCTGTTCTTTTCCATTAATGATCCTGTGAGCTCAATGAAGAATAAGCTTAGGAAACAATACAGGCAAATCTTTTTGTATTGAACTCATTTGCAATTGCTACATTTCTGTAGTTCCTGTGTTGAGCTTGAATTTTTTTCATTCCTTGTTTAGAATGCCTGTTAATTCCTTGCCAATGTCCAATACAGTGGATTAGGGTAGGTTTTGGTGAATTGGAAGGAAGCTGAATGTGTTTCCATTCCTGTGCTGTTATTTTGCCATAAGCTCTCTAGGATCTTGGACAATCATATTTGAACTGGTATGTAAAGAAGAAAACATATAAAAAGTAAATGCTTGAAGATCTGGCTGGTGTTTTAACAAGATCACTACCCACTTTTCTCAATACCAGTTCAATTATAATTGTCTGAGGTCCTAGCTCTCTTAGTCCAAATTTCTTGCTCCCGGTTTTCCCTTGCTTGTTTCTTCTGTTGAGTCTCCCTATCTATGCCATGCTTTTGTTGTTGATGTTTTTTTTTGGTGCTTCTTCAAAAAGGTAACATTGTTAATGAGACCAGAAGTGATTTTAAAGGGTTTTGGAAGAAATTCAACATCAAACTTATGGGGTGTAAGTTCTGAGTTATCATTGTCATTTTGAGAGTTATCCTCAAGAGAAGCAAGGATATTGAAGCAGTTTATATCAGCAAAGATGGTCTCAAGTGGCCTTGGTGAGGTAATAGATGTTATGATGGTACCAGGGTCTGTCCCCAAAAAAACAACTCTCTTCTGTGAAGAAAGATGCCTCATGATTACTGGAAGTAAATCCATCTATTTTTTGGGACAGACAAAAAGTTAAAAATTAATCTAGGCAATAAAGAGACAACAATACTATATAAAATCTCACCTTTTCTATGTAGTCCTCCTTTTTAATTCCATTCAAGAATTTTTTTTTAGTCTTATCTGGCGGGTTTGCATTTTCAGAAGTTGTAGTACTTGCAAAATTTGTTGTTCACAAAGCTTTATTTAGAGAGTATAATGAACTTCTAGCCTTTGCAAGTGCCTTCTCTAATTTGATAGCTTCAAATTGTTTAGTTGCTATCTCATGCCTGATTTCTTTTAATTTTTGATAATTAGCGGAGCCTGGATCCCATGCTGTCCTTCCCACTTTCCTGACAAGATCCATTCGCTGTAGCTCAAGCTGTGAAATCTCTTTATGTAAAGGTGTCAGGATTTTAGTTAAGTCTTTGACCTGTAATGTATATTTTTCAGCTGTTGCTTCTATTTTTGAAATTGACATCTCTGTGTTTGGTGTGAACTTGGAGATGTTAACATTGCCTTTCTTGCCTTTAATTCTTGCTTCAAAATTTAATTTGATGAATGCTTTGCCAGGCTTTGCCTTTCCTAACAAGCATATTGTCCATTTATTAATAAAAATCACCTTCCAAGCAAATTGAAGACTGTGGGAATCCATGAGCAACTGTATTTTATTTGTGTTAAAAAAATGACAGGTTTATTCTTTTCTGCTTGATTAGAGTTAGTAATCCAGTTTGTATCATCAACTGGTACATCATACACTCCAGCAGCTGTAAGGTGTAGTGAGTGAATGTTCTTTGATGTGATTGATAATTTGCAAACAAGAGAGGGGAAAACCAGTAATAGTTGCAATATAGTTTGCTAATGCTGCTAGTGGTGCATATATTAAGATGTGTGGCTCTGGAAGATGATTGTCAATTGTGTGTTTTTGAACAAAAGGCCAAAGAAAGTTGACAATATTTGCTGACACAGTCTTTTCTTTGTCAGTAAAGATCGTTCCTTTGAATGCTTGCCTTTTGAATATCATCTGATGTGATGACATATTTGATTTTTGCTAACTCAGTTAACATATGAACAATTGATATAAGAGACCAGATTGTTTTTGCAGATGACTCTTGAATCTTGAATTCAGTAATTGTCTCTTCTACTTCCTCTATATCTTCTATATCATCTCCTTCACTATCACACTCATCTAGTTCTATTTCACTCTGGATTTACACATCTAGACTCTCAGTTGGCATATTTAATGAGTGTTTCAATTTTTTCATGATCTTTTGTACAACAAATATTGATTGATTGTTAATTATGGCAAATGCAAGTTCATTCATAAGATATGTTGACATAGACCCTGTGACTTCTTTTTTGATTGTTTCTCCTTAGCTTTCCTCTGTCGAATGTTTTTGATATCTTGCCATTCTTTCAGGTGCAAGATGAATCCAAAGGATAATTTGGATAACATTACATAAACTTTTGTTATATATGTCTCTATTCCATATGTTAATTGATGATGTATAAAATTCTTTTAAAGTTGCTTGATGGATTGCATGATTACTTGTTGCATTAGCAATTGCTGAAGGTACAACTTTTTTCAAATTAATCTCATTCTTAATTTGCTCAAAAAGCCTGGAAAAAATAAAAATGAAAGTTAATGCACAAATTCATATGGGGCATGCTGCAACAAAACCAGACAAAGTGAACATTGGTATTACCAGAATTTCAGGGTTCAAAATTTAGTAATGTGATTATTAAAATCACCCATTTGTTATCTTCTTGATATTAAGTATATGTAGAATTACCTCTATATAAAAATAGTTAATATGAACCTCATTTATATCAGGTCTACTATGGAACCCAAAAATTACAGCACTTTTAAAAGTATTTTGAAGAAAGAAAAAGGTGAAAAAATTGCACCTTACATTTTCAAAATAAATAATACTCAAACACTTGAAGCTTATCTAAGAAAAGAAAAGATTACCTATGAAATTTGCCATGAAGAAAGAAAAATAATAAACATTGGAAAAAGAAAGCATCATCATGATGATACATTATTATCCAATAAAAAGCAAAAATCTTTAAAAGGAAAATAACTACCATTTTCTTTGATAGTTGGAATGAATTTCAATTTATACAGAAACTACTTTCTCATTTTCAATCAAGATCATCTTTTAGTCTCTTTAACTTCAATTTGAGCAATTTGACCATTCTGTTGTTGCAATTGGGTTAATTGAACTTTTAAATCATTGATTTCCTTTTCTTTAGCACTTAATTTATCAACTAGTTCTTTGGGGGTTAATTTTTTTAATCTTACTAGTTCAGTCTCCAATTCTTTTATTCTATCCAAAAGTTCTTGCTTTTGCCTTTTACTCCATCCTTCAGATTTTTCTTGGAACTTGATTACTTCTTCCCTCTCAATTTCCAATGCTTCTTCAGTAGTGGTTAACTCTTCACGCAAAGAATTTATTTGTCTCTCATAAAAAGCAGACTGACTTATTTCTTCATCAGGTAAGAGGGAAAGTTCCTTCTCTTCCAAGTCTTCATTGTTTCTAACACAGTAGCAACCTTTCTTACCAGTAACAATATCAAAATCTAACTTAGTTTGTAATCTACCACATCTATTACATTTTAATAATTCATCATTTCAATATTTTTCTTCACACTTTTCACAAACTACATCATCTGAAATTCACTCCCCAGTTATTTTACTATGGACTCTTATTTGATGAATAGATTCATTATCTCTGTTTTCAAGTTTGGAGCAAAAATTGCAAGTTTTTTTACTTTCTTTCTCCAATTCCAAAACTGTGTATTCCAGTTCTCTCATTGCAATCTACCTGTTACTTAGACTTTACCTCTACTTGAGCAATCATTTCTTGGTTGTGAAAAATATCCCTTTTGATTAGCTTTTGTATCTTAACTTTTGCTTTTGTTTTTAACTGCCTAAACATACTCTGTTTAACTGAAGCCTTGTTTTCCTCTTCTATAGGTAAAGCAGGTAAAGGTTTACTGTTTAAATAGTGTAAACTCTTTAAACTTTCATTTTGTGATTCATTATCAGATAATTGCTTGCTTAGTTTTTCTATTTTTTTACTCTTTTGACTTGACTCTTCCTCTAACTTTTCAACTCGGGCTTCTATATAAGGAATCTTTTCACTAGCACTTTTGAGTTTTTATAACATTATTAACTGCATTTATAATTCTTAATTTAAAATTGTCTTCTTTATTTGATAATTGCTTCTTTAAATTTTCATTTTCTTCTAATAGTTTTTTATTTACTTTTTTTTGTGCTTCTATGATGTTTGTCATGACTTTACTTTTTTTTATTCTTTTAATATACCTATATCCTTTTTATAAGGGCATATTAAGTATATAAATTATTTTAGTACTATTAAACTTATTAAACTTAATGACAGTAAGGGACAAATTAATGGGTGAAATGATTTTATTCTAAATATTTTATTTGTTGCCAGTATAGAATGGTCTTGGACAAGTAGTATCTTTGTATTCATCTTTCACAGATGGATGAATATTATTATAAAGGTATTCTTGTCTTTTGTAATCAATCCAAAGGAGGCGGTGTTAACACTAAAATAGATAAAGTTCTAATTTCTTCAAAAATATCTGCTTCTTTGGTTTTCAATAAACTGAATTCAATAAAAGGTCCATTAACAACTTCTTGAACTTTCACTGTACCAAGATTAGATGCTTTAAAAAGAAAATGTTGAAATTTCTTATACTTGGTAATTTCTTAAAATAAATTCCCAATATAGATTTGATATCCAAATATTGAAAACCTTTTCCACCTTCATAACATTGTGCTTTATTTAATCCAGCTGGTCTAGACTTTTTTACCACCTCAACCACATGATCTAGACAATCTGCTCTTGTTTTTCTGTAGAGTTTTTTAATCAGGCCAAAACTACCATCACATTTGAATTTGGTATGTCCAGGAATCATGAAATTCAATTCAATACTTTTATAATAACCACTCCATATAAGAAGAAGCATATATTTATCATCTGAAACATCTATTATACATGACCTAGTTTTAAAATAGTTATCTTGGTTATCTCATTGAATTGTTCCTTGGTCAAGATTAACTGTCCATCCTGTAATAGATTCATCTTGTTTACTATGGGTTACTAAAATTTATGAATAGGACTATCCTTTATTTCATCAATGGGACATCTATTGTGTGCATTAACTATAATTTGTTGTTCAATAGCATCAACAACATCTATATAATTTGTAGTTGGGTTTTTAATATTATTTTCTGATTAATCTGTCACTACTTTATACAATCATCATTATCATTTCCTTCTTCCATTTTTATAAAAGAATTGATTGAAAGTTTTTTAATGAAAAATGTAAGGGTAAAAAAATAAATTCGTGTATTAATTTAAAATTAAGTGTACGTTGCCAGAAGACTCCAGATTAGGTAAAAAATAACTGATAATAATAATAATAATAATAATAGCAAAGAAACCCTTGTCAAAGTGTTGTGTATGTGAGTTTTTAATCATTCCTATTTATAACGTCAGATGAAAACTCATCATAAACAGCAATCGCCAACACCTGCAATTTTTGCAAGTTTCCTTTTGCTGTCAAATGAAATATTTTGGAACAAGTCATTCCTTGCAATTGAAGAACCTAATCTTTTAAGACATTTATATTCTTTGAAAATTCCCTATTACTGTTGCTAGAGAAATGTCTAAATTGGAGTATATCTGTATAGAAGTAGGGATGTTAATCAGTCCTTTTGGGACCGGGTCCTGAACAGTCCAGACCGGACTTTTTCAGGTCCAGTCCTACCATTTGGGACTTAAAGTCCCAAAAGGTCCCTGTGTAACAAATGATAAAAATTTTTTTTATATATTTTGCTTGCTAAATAATAATATTATAATAATAAATAGTTTTAAAAATATTGATTTTTCATTTGCCAAATAATTGGCTTTTTATTGAATTCATTCATTCATCCATCCATTGATCCATCCATCCATACATTCATCCATCCATTTACCAAATTTATTCATATACATTTTTGTTAGCATAATAATTAATAATATATAACTCTGTCACATATGGCAAAAGATTATTTTTCAATACAAGCCACAAGTGTATCAAGTGAGCAAATGTTTAGCATTGCTAAACATACATTAAATCCAATTCAAAATAGGTTGGATTCAGAAAAAGCACAAGAAAGTCTATGCTTAAAGAGCTGGATTGAATCAGAAATTGTTTCGATTTAATTTTGGTTTTTTTATTTTGTTTGTTTTTGTGTGTATATACATTTTTTACAATAATAAAATAATAAGTTTTTTTAGTTTCAATAATAATATGTTTAAAAAAAAACTTGGGACTGCCAGTCCCAGGACTGTCCTGAACTGTTTAGGACTGATTAACATCTCTATATAGAAGGTGGTGATTTCGAAGGGTTTCATTGGATTTTGAGGAAATGAATTTAAAGTTTACCATCATTGTTAATGATTTGCGATCTTCATTTAAAGTATATCATTGATTGTCACTTAAAATGTTATAAATAGAGCAAGACAATATATTAAAAAAAAGTAGATGCTTTGTTAGAATAATATAGAATAATAAATAACATTGGATATGAAGACTAGAATGATTTTATAATTAAAAATGATTTATTATTTATGATTTATTTAGATTAAATCTCACAAATGTTTTGTTGTCACCACCACCAAAGCAAGAAAAGAGGCAATACTTTCGATTGCGTATAATATTTAATTAAAAAATGTGTTTACATCAATCAATTAAATTATTATATTAAAATTAGCAATAATAAATTTTATTTCAAATTAAAAAATTAAATTCATAAAGTAAAAAACATCCATCAACAACATACATATAAAAAGAAAACTACAATTTTTCTAATTCATTTATTTTTTCACATAAATGATTAGTCTCAGCTACATAATCAATTTCTGAAATAGCCACCAAGTTATTGTTTACAACAGTCTTCTCCTACAAAATAAAATGATCCCACTTATATTTATATTTATTTATTTATATAATTATTATAATAATTGCTATAGTATTTAATACTTACATTAAAAGTTTTTAGCTGAGTACGAACTTTAAATATGTAAGACTCCCACA